CTGGCTCCTGGCGGGGAGGCTCGGATAACCCAAGGCGCACGAGCGTCGCGGCTCAGCGAACGCGGGGAGGAAGAGCGGGCGCCGCGCTGCAGCTGTCCGAGCCTAATTGAGCCGGGCTGGGCAAAGCAAGGCAGCTGCTGCGGGGGACTCTCTGCGAAGGGCGGTTAAGCCGGCAGGAAGACTGGCTTTCCTTGGACGCGCTTCTTCCCTCTCCTGATCCTCCATCTCCGCCCGGTCTACCACAGTTCTGCTCCGGGCTTCGCTGGGTACATTATTTAGCCGCTGCCTTTAGGACGTTTTCTGTTCTCTTTACGCCGGGTATAAAACCTGTTTATATTTAGTTCTGATGCGGAGTACCTGCTCCCCGCCTTCACGATTCACAGTGAACTCGACTGGAATTCCCACTTCATTCTGTATTGAAAAGTTCACCTTTCACAATACTGAATTGATACAAGAATGACACCTCTTGTCACAGCTACTTATTTAAGGCACTTTAGGTAAGCCCCATACTGACGCCATTCTCCCTGTTCAGAGCTGGGAATGAATACTATATTGACCAATTTTACAAGCTGCTTGTAGGACAGGGTTTGTGAAGTGCTTGAGCACTTCAGGGTGTGTGTTGGTACGTGCAGCACGTGCTTAACTGTAGTCCATTGACTCACGATTTATTCCCCCACTTCTCTGAATGTCCAGGACATATTGAACCATATATGAATAAGGCTATGTCTGCCAACATGTTAGGCTAAAATGCGGTTGACTAGTTTATAGTTCAGTAGGTCATGTGAATACAGCCATTATGAACTGCCTCTATGTGAAGAATGCTTATTACTCTGATAGGTTGATTTAGGAATTGTGAACTTTACAGCTCTACAGATGTTTACTAAACAGTTTCTTGTATTCTACAGAGCTTATATAGCATTAGGGAGAAGTATATATTAACTGATCTGAAATAGAATGAATTTTCCTTAAAGCAATGGGTTGCATGCAGGCACAACTTACATATCTTACATGATTGGTTTGGTTTTGGTATGTTGTGTGAACCTAGTCATTGTGGCTTGTAAACAGTGGCCAGCTGATTTTTCAATAAACTTTGGTTAAACAAAGCACGGTTTCTAATGTGTGAACTTAGTCACGGTAGTTTGAAATAGGTGCATTCAAGTTCATGAACTTGTCCCAATCAGTTCAATGGATCTACTCATGATCCAGTGCTATGGCTTTGACTGGGTAAGACCTTGCCCATAATATTAGATTTTTTTATTTAGCAGTGAGGAGATGCATTTTGCCAATCTTCTGTTTATTTTTCTTGCAACCAGCCTGTAGCTATAACAAAAGCTATAAAGTCCAGATATAGGTGTTGGTATTAGAACTTGTTTTAAGTACATTCTGAATCTTCAAGCTCCCATAAGTTCTTTCAGGACCTTTTAAAACATTTTATTTCATTGTGTATTGAAAAAGAGAAAGAAATCTCTCCCCGCTCTCGTTTACTAAACCAAACTAGTAATACATATATATTCATAAAACCGTATACAATTACATTAATAACTCAATTCATGTAATTGAAAACCCGAGACGCTAAATCTCTCAACCTCTTTCTCTCACGGGCGACAGAGGTTTTTTTATTTGATTACGTCATCAACGTGCGCCACAGAGTCGTGCGTGTGAGGTACGACGTATAAGCGGAAGAGGTCTCCTTAAGCAGTTTATTTTGAAGAATCCTCCTCGTTTGGACGGATCTAGTCTGAATTTTTTGTCCCTTCCCGGTGTTTCTTCTTCAGTTCATATTTTCTTGTGACCCTCGGAGTGAGACTTCATAGATCAATCTGCCAGCGGTAAGCCATGGGATGGGCTAATTTGTGGCATTCGTGTTGTTTGCTTCCAGGACCATCTGGGGGCTGGTTACTTAACCCTAACTAGCTAGGTAAAAACGCTCCCTTCCTTTTGTTATCTATTTTTATTTTTAATTTTTCTCAACACTAAGACTGAAATGGATTTATGGAGGAAAATGTATATTTGAAAATTATGTAACCTCAACGTACTGGCTTCCTTTTACTACAGAGTATGGAAACAGAAGAAGATGCTCCTCCTCCAAAGCAGCAGCCTATGATATACATCTGTGGAGGTAAGTAATGCACCGGTACGCCGGAAATAAAGCTGTGTAAGGTATATGATTGTTTTTTGGGGGGGTTAACTAAGATCCTTGATAAAACTGATAAACACATGCTTTTTTCTTATAGTCTTGAATCCTAATTTTTTTTTAAAAAAATTATAAACTTTAGAGTGCCATAGAACATATGGAAACAACTAAAAATCACTGTAGGTACTCTTCTGGAGTTTCCTTTCCATACTAGGACTGTCTTTCTGGTTTATGAAGAAGAGTAAGGAGGGAGGAAATAAACTAGATATTATAGTTACTATGAGTTTGCCTCCTCCCTCTAGATACCCTGTGAAAAGGAACATCAGGTGCCATTCATGAAATCTAGTAGGACTGTTTTTACTGGGGGGAGAAATTATTGAAGTTTTAATTATATTTTTTTTTCAACACTGAAGACTAGTCAGAAAGTTGGTTAGCAAAATTTACTTCATTCCAATAAAATGTTTTGTTTTGCTATGTCTTAACGCTTAGTTTTATTTCCTTTCTTATTTTACCTTAATAAGATATTGTCATTATTATTTTCAGAATGCCACAAAGAAAATGAGATAAAAGCAAGAGACCCTATCAGATGCAGAGAATGTGGTTACAGAATAATGTATAAGAAAAGAACAAAAAGATGTATCCTTGTATTTGGACATCTTAATTGTTGTATTTTTGTCTTTTAGTATCTCTCTAATGCTTTTTTTTTTTTTGGTCTGCGCTCAGTCATTGCTGACTCTGCAGTGACTGCTTGGACGAGTC